TCTATAGTTCCATATCCAGTTCTAACTGTTGCTTCTTCTCCTGTATACAGATTTCTTAAGAGGCAGGTCAGGTGGTCTGGTATTCCCATCACTTGAAGAATTTTCTACACTTTCTTGTGATCCACAGAGTCAAATGGTTTGGCACAGTCAATAAAGAATAAGTAGATGCATTTCTGGAACTCACTTGCTTTTCTTATGATCCAGAGGATGTTGACAATTTGATCTCTGGTTCCTCTGCCTTTTCTAAATCCAGCTTGAAGATATGAAGTTCATGGTTCATGTAATCTTGAAGCCTGGCTTGGAGAATTTTGAGCATTACTTTCCTAGCGTGTGAGATGAGGGCAATTATGTGGTAGTTTGAACATTCTTTGGCATTGCCTTTCTTTGGGATTGGAAGGAAAACTGAACTTTTCCAGTCCCGTGGCCACTGCTGAATTGTCAGATTTGCTGGCATATTGAGTACAGTACTTTCACAGCATCATCTTTTAGGATTTCAAATAGCTCAACTGCAATTCCATCACCTCCACTAGCTTTGTTCGTAGTGATGCTTCCTAAGACCCACTTGACTTCGCATTCCAGAATGTTTGGCTCTAGGTGAGTGATCACACCATCCTGGTTATCTAGGTCATGAAGATCTTTTTTGTAGAGTTCTGTGTATTCTTATACACCTCATCTTAATGTATTCCGCTTCTGTTAGTCCATACCATTTTGTCCTTTATGGTGCCCATCTTTGCATGAAACGTTCCCATGGTATCTCTAATTTTCTTGAAGAGATGTCTAGTCTTTCCCATTCCATTGTTTCCTCTATTTCTTTGCATTCATCCCTGAGAAAGGCTTTCTTATCTCTCCTTGCTATTCTTTGGAACTCTGCATTCAAATGGGTGTATCTTTCCTTTTCTCCTTGGCCTTTTGCTTCTCTTCTTTTCTCAGTTATTTGGAAGGCCTCCTCAAACAACCATTTTGCCATTTTGCATTTCTTTCTCTCCAAGATGGTCTTGATCACTGCTTCCTGTACAATGTCATGAATCTCCATCCATAGTTCTTCAGGCACTCTGATTATCAGATCTGATCTCTTGAATCTATTTGTCACTTGCAGTGTCTAATCATAAGAGTAAATACTACATGAAACTAAATTCAGAGCATGAACACAAATTTCACAACAGAACACTTTACCTTGGTTTTAAAATATAAGACTTCATTGTTTGATGTAGGCCCTAAATCAACGCCAGGTTCATTGGGAAACCTTTAAAGCAGAAACATACAATAAAAATGAGTGAGCTCATTTCCTTGAACAAAAGAAAAAAGAAAATAACAACGAGTGAAAGTCTCTCTATATATTAAACTTTCTCGACATGAATAAAATTTGGCCTGTTTTAAAACAGCTTTTTTTTTTAATTTTTTAAAGATTTTTTTGAATCTTTACAATTTTTTTGAACCACTTTACTGAATTAGTGCCAATGGTGCTTCTATTTTATGTTTTGGCTGTCTGACCCCGAGGCATGTGAGATCTTAGCTTCCCTGACTGAGAATCGAACCCACACTGGCTACACTAGATGATGTCTTAGTAATCATCTTAACCACTGCACCCCCAGGGAAGTCTCCAAAAATGTTTTCCATTACCTATCTGCTTCCTTGTCTCCCAATCTATGAAATATCTAGTTAAAAATCATTCTTAGTTTCCATAAAAGAGAGTGACAGCAAATATATCAGCAGAGCCTAAAAATAATTTGTTTTCACCAAAAGTTCTAATAGCTGAACTGAAAATCCAATTGATGGACTGAAATTATTCTTACTTGTCCAAACTGGAATAAATCTGATGTCTTAAAACAAAGCGGAAGAATAGGCTTTGCCTTCTCCATTGTCTGTTCAAGGCTCAGAGACGAATCTGGTTGGTCCAAAAGGGAAGTCTTGGTCCATCAGCAGGGTGCCACTCACTGAGATGGCACCACTTCTCTCCTTTACTCTAAGAGGGAGTACAGGGAGTTTAACCACAATGTCAAAACTTAAAATGTACACAAGTCAAAGGACTAATTTACATCTTTAACTTATATGCTACACGGGTACTTCTCAGTCTCTGCTGAGGGCCATGGGAGTGGACGTGGGAGCCAGGAAGGCCAGCTGTCAAATCACAGGTCAACTCATTTTAACCAGGGTCAATTCATTAACCTCCTGAAACCACAGTTGCCTAATTAAGTAAAAGTAGGACACAGCTACTTTACGAAGCTGCTGTGCTGACTCTATGAGGTCACAAATGTTAAGCACGTAATGCAGTGTCTAACCCAGGGTAGAACACTCAACAAACATTAGTTTCACTTATTCCATGTTCCCTTAGTTAAACATATAATTTAAAACATCCATAAAATCCTACCTCCTTGAAGAGTCCTCTTCAGAACTCTCATCCGCTATTAAAGAAAAATCAAGACACATTTTAAATCAACAAAAGAAAAATACAGAATATGAACACCTCAAGACTGATGCTTTGTTTAAAAGTATTCCTTTCAAACCACACTTGGAGGCCACACTAGAGGAAGGGAACAGTGGTTGTACCATTCTCATAGGCTCACCTAAGAATGCCTAAGAACCACTCCTCCCTTTTATAGTCATCACATGCAAAACAAAAAAACAAAGAAAGAACTGCTCTTTACAATGACCATAACCCTAACCAAACTCTAGGAGACTGACAGACAATGATACTATATCATTAGTAGAATCAGTACTATAAGCTGACAATAGCACACTTAAATAGCACAGTATTTCTGGACTTCCATTGCCTGGAGCACTGAACAGAGACTATAGGTGTCTTGCTGGGACATGACAACTCCTCTGGCTCTTCAGTTCAGAATGAAAACACCCTATCACAGGGAAGCTTGGTCCACAGGCACTGAACTTCAGAGTGTGGTAAAGCATAGGAAACAAAGTCTTCTCTGCCTGGCCCTCTTTCCAAAGACAAGGGAAGTATGAAAGAAGTAGTCATTCCAGACTTAGAAAGGATAATCTCTTGAAAGGGAGGTGGGGGAGGGCAAACGGGTAAAGGGGATCAACTCGGTGCTGAGAGTGGGGACTCTTCTTGTAAACTTGTAGTGGTGAGATTGCAGTAGGTTACACAGAAGCTGAACTTTTTAAAAAAGTTCCATATATATATATACACACACACACATACACACACAAGACACACACACACAGACACTAATATGTCTAAAAAGAATCTCTTGAGACTGTCTCCTTCCATTGCTCAAGAGTATCTGCACCACATAGAGCAGGATGGTCCAAAGAGTGCTGTGTACTAGTGAGGGCTATCATTATATCAATCCTTCCCATTATATGGTAAATGTTTATAGAAATCATGCTTTTTCAGCTTGGAAGGCATACGTCATCACATCCTAAGCTGATGAACAAGGGGAGGGAGGGAAGAACGGAGGGAGGCACGGACTCTGGTTCTGCTAAACATTTCCCAGGGGTCGTCATGATCTGATGCTGGAGGGATGACTCACATGCAGCGACTCCATGGGGAGAGGAGCACTGCAAGCTTGAGCCTGGAGAGCAGGGGCAGTGAATTTTAACTGTTTTCACTCTGTGACATCAGAACAATGCTTAGTACACAAAAGACACTTGAAAATTATCTTTTTAGTGAACAAATGAGCAAATAAATAAGCAGGTTTTCTTTGAAAATTTTGTTTAGAAAAATACAGAAATTAAAAAAAAAAAGAAAAATACAGAAATTAACCAGAGAAAACTCTATTCTATTCTGAGTGTACTGAAGACCAAGACACTCTCATCTCTGTATCTCCTCTGACTAATGTATTAAACCAACCTACAGTTCTTTGATAGATGTTTTTGTTGTTCAGTCACCAAGTCCTGTCTGACTCCTGTGACCCCATGGACTACAGTTCACCAAGCCCTTCTGTATATGGAATTTCCCAGGCAGGCGTACTGGAGTGCATTGCCATTTCCTTCTCCAGGGGATCTTCCCGACACGGGGATCAAACCATATCTCCTGCATTGGCGGGTGGATTCTTTACTACTGAGCCACCTGGGAAGCCCCATTTGATTAGATAGAGGTCTACTCAGTCAACGGTATCCTCGGATACCCTGTACAATATGCTAGATGCCACATACAGTGGACCTAATGCGGTTTTTGTTAATGCAAAGTATTTCTGTGCTTTTATTAGAACCTGCAGAATCCCAAGTCCATCTATTTGGAGATCTATTATGATAATTTTTTAACTGGTGGCAAGAGAGCATCTTGTTCTTACAAAACTATACTGTCATGACAACTGGCCAACACACAAAAGAAAGCATCTGGTCCCAATGAAGTCAATCTATCTCACTCTCTTTGGATCTGTAAGGAATGAAGTTGGTAAGCTACACCTGCTTGGTACAAAAATAGGCAAAATAACTGGTTCTCAACCAGGCATTGCTTTTTGGCCTTCGGTACTATTGGTAAGTATCTTTCAGAAATAATCTCTCACTACTAAGCTGCACACTGGCTCAGCTTTGCAGTTCTTATTGTTTATCATTTCTTATCCTACCAGGAAGGGATTATTCAGGTTCCCAGTTTTAATGATGGTAACTATTTTAGCGAGACTAATCACTACACAGTAACTACTAACTATTCATTCACTAAGTGCAAACCATTTCTATAAATGAAAGTTCACTTTCATAAGAAGTCCAATCTGCTATAAAATGACTATAGGTGAAATATACATAATACTCACTTAATTTTTTTTTTTCTGATTTACACAAAGGTCTAGCATAGAACTTTAGGGGCCATATTAAATAGATGGATTTCTTTTCAGTCAATACTGTCTTTGATGTTAAATCACCTACAATTAACTTCTTAATCACTTCTGAATACTAGAGTATTAGGAAATTAATTTTAAAAATAAAATACACATGCAATTTATGCTAATTTTTCATAGTTCTTTCATTATTGAAACTTCTTCACTCCTACTTTATCTATGGTAGAATCACCAAAAGTAATTTGGTATCATATGACGTACCTGGGTTGCTCTTTTCAGAAGTTTTAGGTCTCTTTTCTTTATATTCAGAAATCAGTTGGTGAAAGCTACGTATTAAAAATGTGATAAGTAATATTTTAACACTGATATGAGAAACTACCAAATTCTTAGATCATTTCAGACAATGCCAGAGATAATATCAAAACTTCAATTGTCCCATACATTTCAAGTTTCTAAGTTCTATACGCTTTTATTTAGCATGTAGTAAAGGAGAAAGTAAGGTATATTGTCACCCTGCTTATTTAACCTCTATGCAAAGTACATCATGACAAATGCTGGGCTGGATGAAGCACAAGCTGGAATCAAGATTGCCAGGAGAAATATCAATAACCTCAGATATGCAGATGACACCAGCCTTATGGCAGAAAGGGAGGAAGAACAAAAGAGCCTCTTGAGGAAATTTGATACGCTTTAACACGTGAACACCGTGCCCATTCATGAAGAATTGACCATTTACAGGCTCAAGGGTTCATCTTTGTAAATCACGTCCAAGGCTAAAATGAAGGGACAGAAAAGAAGTCTTCTGTCCCATTGGGATGCCAGGTAGCAGCACTTACTATTTCAAAAGTCCCTGATGGGGACTTCCCTGGTGGGCCAGGGGAAAGACTCCAGGCTCCCAATGCAGGGGGCCCAGCTTCTATCCCTGGTCAGGAAACTTGATCCCATATGCTGCAACTAAGAGTTCCCACAACTAGGACCCCACGCAGCCAAATAAATAAATAAATGTATTTTTAGAAGAATAATAAAGTCCTTAGTGAACAGGAAACGATGCTGAAGTCACTTATCTGAGGCAGGTGACTATTTAAGGGATGAATTCCCCATTTTCTCCTTAGTCTGATATATTTGGCTTCAAAGTCAGCTAGAGGTTGGATTAAGAAAAGGCTACTTGCAGGCTTAAATCAAAAATATTGATAATAATGGAAATAAAAATAGTCATGGTGGCAGTTAATGATGTGGACAGGCATGTGCTAGGCAATAAAAATGAAATACTATATATAAAATCTTTCTCACACACAGGCACCTTTGAAAGATACAATACTATTTGTCTTGCATATCAGGAAACTTATTTGCTGATGATAAATAACCGTAATCAGTAGGAAACCTAGGAATTGAACCTAGTCTGAATCTAAAGCCCATCATTTTCATCTGTATCATCCACCTCTGACTTGGCTTTGTTAAAGGAACTCTTTATCCAATCAAAGCTATCTTTCTTCCTTCTACCTGCATTAAAAATGAAAATATCAAAATGTACTAAAATGAGAAAGGATAAAAATTCATGAGCCCACAGGATCTGGTGACAGTGAGTAAGAATCACCTTTTTGTGGCTGTTATTTAGTTGCTATGTTGTGTCTGACTCTTTTGCAACCTAATAACATCAGCATTCTTCAAAGAAAGTAATTTAAAGCAAAGAGTTATCCAAAAGACAAAATCGAGTCTTTTAGGTTTACTATCCATCTTTTAAAAGTATATACATACAAAGTAGAGGTTAAGAATTCTTTTAAAAGAATTAAGAAACTCGATACTGCCATGAGGTAAACTAAAAAGCAGAATCCATATTTCATAAAGCCAATAAAACTAATTTGAAATCCCTCAGCTATTCCAAGATCGACAAAACAAACAAACAAAAAACAGGTTGCATATGACATCAATCAATATTATAAAGGAATATCAATCCTGCTATACATTCCTGCTATATATTGTTCATGACTCCCAGTCAGAATAATTGATTTTCTACCTATGTGATGATGTGTTGATTACAAATGAATCCTCTTATTCATTTAATCTTGATATTACCATCCTAGAACAGCACTGAGGGTTTTAAAAAGAAAAAGAACAATGGTACCTTTTCATCTTGTCAACCGCATGTAGACTTGCTTCTTTGTCTACTAAAAACTCCACCATTTCTCCTCTCCTTTCATGTACAGCAAGTAACAATGGTGTGAGGCCATCCTGTAAAACAGAGAAAACCATTTCTAATGTACACAGTTAACCTATTTCTAAGCTGACATTAAAATCGTGCAATAGGCTCTCGGAACTTAAAAATACAATGCAGAAAGTAAATGAAAAAGTGCCCCCTCCTCCTCATCGCCCTGTGCACCTTCCTTTTCTTTAACATGCTCCTCCTCTGGGCCTTCCCTGGTGGTCCAGTGGCTAAGAGTCAAGCTCCCAATGCAGGGGGTGCCGGTATCATTTAGCTACTGTATCAACTGCGTATTTTAGGAACAATGCTGGGGCAGAAATATATAATACTATCTGTAGCATGCATAACCCATCCAAGGATGACCATGAGTAAACTCAAAAGGTTTTCAGACTTGCCAGTGGGAATATTATTCTCTACATGAACATGTAAAGAGAGAAACTTTTTTTTTTTTAAATCAACCGTGGGAACCCTGTTTTACTGCTTTCTCAGAAATGTCACCTGGAATTTAATCTTACTCATTCTCTCTTCCTTGCTTGCTCTTTCCACTGCCCTTCCTTAAGTCAGACGTTCTGGTTGACAGGTCAGCATTAGCTAGATGCTAACTCCATGCAGAATGAGCGCCCTCCCCACCTTATCTTCAAAGACCCTTCTTGATGACTCTCATGTGATTACCTCCAGACCCCCAGGAGGAAGCTTCCAAAACCCCAGAGTTCTGGCATCTCTCTCGCTTTCCTGCTCTTAGTTAAAGATTGCAACATAAAATTACCAATAAATGCATGCCCACCATTTTCTCCAGGAGCTGCTCCTCCACGAGCTCTCCCTGCACTGTCTCTTATAATCTGGTGTGCTTGTGAGAGTTATTCAGTGTAAAACCACCACAATGAACTTAAAAATTCTAATTTGAAAAATTCAGTCCCGTTCTTAATAGATTTTTTAAAATATGAAATCAATTATAGATTAGACTGTATTTAAAACCTTCAAATATTTATCAAAATAAACTATCAATCAAAAATTGGAAACTCAAATGCTTATGGATGGAAAGCTGATGACCTGAGTAAGTGAAAAAGCCAGGTGAGACCGGTAACCCCCAAAACACATGTCCCATACAGAAGGGGTAGCCTCTGCATGCAGACCAAAGAGTACTATGGGCTCAAGGGGGCCCAGATTTGCTCCTTGGAGAAGCCTGAACTTCTGTATGAGCCTCGTCAATTTGAAATGTTGACTCAATGTGTGGAGGTAAACTAAATATACCCAAGGGCCATATTTGGTCTATTGCCCACTTTTGGTTTTATGTTTGCTGTTTCCAAACAGGTGGGTATAAAGCAAATATTTGTTTGTGAAACCTTTCTTTCTTTAGTATCATATGTTTCACAAAAAGTGGGTCCCAATATGTAGTAAATAAGCCTATTGAGACTCATAATTCAATTAAACATTAATTCTTTTATGTTAAAAAGACTCCTAAATCACAGTCAAGAATGTTTCCACTGCCTGTTGAAACTACAAGCTATCTCTAGAATTCTTCTATATTGTTAATCAAATGTATAATGAGTTCCTAAGCCCGCTGAAAATAAATGCTTAAAACAATTCCCCTCTCTACTGTTACTAACTGTACGGGTTTTAAAGCTCTCCTCTGCTTATGTCAGGGATCAGCAATTCTAACAGACACACTGCAAGAGTCTGTCCTGCAGCTGACACCAAAACAGGCTCATGAGTTACTATTACTGCAGTCAGGAAAACCCTGTTGGTAACAAACATCTGTTGACCTAATGACCTGGATGATAAGAGAAGGTGTAAAATCCTTAAAGGGTCAGACTCTACAGATGAAGTGACTTCGTCATGAGAAAATCTCTAAAGACTCTCGGAATGTCACTGAATGATGAGTGGTTGGAAGGAAAAGGAGTTACCGTTCCAGCCCATAGATATTGCCAAAGGTACTCCTTTTAGTGTCTCAAACACAGGGGCAGAGAAAAAGTCAGGCTAATGTTGTTGGAAAGGAGGGAGCTGATGGAAGTAGCTAGCAATGATCAAACTCCAAATGCTTCCAGAGACTACTTTCTTTTGTGAAGGGTGCATTTAGAAATTACATGTGTTCACTCCATAGTTATTCATCAAGGGCTGGATCAGAATCTCAAGGGAATAGTTCTAAACACACACGTCCAAATGTTCCTTGATTTACTCAGTCAAAATCTTCAGGGAACAGCCTAGGCTTGTAAATTTTGTAAATAAGTTTTCCCAAATGATTGTGGTTCGCCAGCAGAATATAGCTGAGATTTAGTGCAGCAACCACGCCAGTCTCATCTCTTACTCACAGAGCCAATTCCTTCTCTTACGTGAGGGTTTGAATAAAAAAGAAAAATGTAAGAGGTAAGAGTCATCAAAACTGCAATTTTTTAGATTTCCCTGGGTAAACAGTAGTAGAACAGGGACTAGTAAACCCAAAAGGCAACCTGATCTCATTATTTATAAACCCCTTCCTTCCCATCAAGACATTCTAGATGGGAGAGCAGAGTCTAGACTCTTATCTAAGTGGATGGTTCTGGTTCTGCAAGAACAGGATAATGTATCAGTTAATTATTTGTTCTTCTCTCTTAATTCCCACTTAATAGCCACCTGTTCACTGCCAGTCTGCTTTGCTCAGAGTCTTCTTAAAACTGGCATCTTCATGAGACAAGTGCTCGGGCCTGGTGCACTGGGAAGACCCAGAGGATCGGGTGGAGAGGGAGGTGGGAGGGGGGATCGGGATGGGGAATACATGTAAATCCATGGCTAATTCATGTCAGTGTATGACAAAAACCACTACAATACTGTAAAGTAATTAGCCTCCAACTGGTAAAAATAAATGAAAAAAAAAATAAAGTTATGTTTACATATGGAAAAAAAAACAAAACTGGCATCTAGGCAAGTTTACAATTCACTCACAGTCTTTTGTGAAATAACAATTATTATCCCTGAAAACTGAAAAGCACCTCACAGAAATATATAACCTGACAGGAATAAAAAGCACAAACTAAAATCTCGGGACTTCCGTGGTTGTCCCGTGGCTGGGTCTCAGTGCTCCCAGTAAAGGGGGCCTGGGTTCGACCCCTGGTCGGGACACTAGATCCTACATGCTGAAACTAAGCCCAGCACAGCCAAATAAATAAATATTAAAATAAATAAATAAATAAATAAATAAATGCCTCTTCTTGGCATTTCCCAACTGCCAAAATTCTGGCCTCACTTGCACTTTTCACTTGCTCGCTCCTTTTCCTTTCCTTTGCCCTCTTAAGATTTGGGCAGTGACAGAGAAACCGTGCTTATATAAATCATTTTTCATAAAATGCGAATTTGTCAACAGCAGCAAGATTTCTATTGTGTTGTAAAATGCTTTCGTTATGTTTGAATTTTAAGACAAAGTCTACTGAGGCAAATTTTGCTTTACTGTGTTATTTTAGACTGATTCAAAAAAAAAAAAAAACTTAAGTGGGGGAAAATATTTGGAAAATGTTTTACCTTTAACAAGTACAGTGTTAGCATAAATCCCGGCCATAAACACATAAAGGAACGCTTTACTCTCTAATGCTTGAGAAATATCATGATTTAAAGTGAAATCTTACACAACTTGGTTCCTTCAAAATACTTTCACTCAGGGAAGACTGGAGCTCCCAAACATGGAAAACTGAGCCCACCTGTGAGAGTGGGGGAAGGTCCTGGTGGGGCTGTAGAAGCTGGACTTCACATGCTTCCTGAAGAAAGAGCAGGAAGGGCAGCTCCCCAGGCACAGCTGCAACCCCGCTGAGCAGCTCCCCGGGACTGAGCGTGGAGGACCCCAAGGTGTACCTGGTGAAACAAGTGGTCACCAGCGCAAGTGGTGTCAAACATGACCTGACCTGCCTAGCCGGATCTCAGAACCAGGGGTCCTGGAGAGTGCAGGGCTCCAGGACTGCTGCCTCCCAGGCCCACTTGCACTCACCGAGCTCCATGATGGGCACTGGGTCTCCTTCCTCCTCTGCCCACGCCCAGCGGCACACATTCCCTGAGCCCCTGTCAACAGCCAGTCCCCACATCACTTCCCTCCCAACGGGCCTTCATTTCCTGTGAGCTCGGAGCCTATCACCCACTCCCACGCACGTTCTAATGGGAAAACCTTCCTTCTGGGGTAGAAGGGTGGCTGGCAGACAGAGCTCTGTCTTTTCTGGGGGCACCTACTTTTTCCACCCCTGCCCCCTGACTCAGGTTTAGAATTGTTTCCATGGTAACAGGGCCTCATGGGCACTATTCAGTTTACCTATTTACAAACTATTGTAAATAAAACACTTGTAGATTAAAAAAAAATGCTTCACAAACATTTGGTCAATAAAGTTAGCTGTCCAATACCTTGTTCCTGGCTTCTATATGGGAGTTGTAGGAAAGCAGCTTTGCTGCGAGTGTTAAATTCTGACAAAAGACAGCATAGTGGAGCGCGGTGTTGCCACAGGCGTCCATGACATTTGGGTCGGCGCCATGCTCCAGCAGGAGAGTCACGCAGTCCTCATCTTGGCATTCTACGGCCTGTCAGTGTTGTGCCAAGAAACAGAGTATGAGTACTAGGAATTCAAAGGAAACAGTCCACAAGTTTCACCAGTTCCCGCTATTTCAATGAGATAAATTCATTTTTAGTCTCAGTAGTTAAATCACATCCATCTCATGTGGACATGGTTTGCTGCCCCATACCTTCATCAGCGCTGTCCTGTTTTCATTGTCACAGAGGTCAAGCAGGCATTTTCTCTCCAGGAGGAGAGCCACCACTGCTAAATGGCCATTGGCGCAGGCCAAGTGGAGCGCAGTCCTACAAAAGCAGGAGCAGTTTTTAGGAAACTGTAGTGTCACAGTTTTAAAACAAACAACTGTTCATGTGATTGAAAACACTCAACAGCATAGTACTCCTATCCCTCTAAAACAAATATTTTGTTTTCTTCTGGAGAAAGAGCAGCATATATCAGCTTTAGCTCCTCTTACACTGTAAGGAAAGAACAATCTACTTGAATAGAATGCGCAAGACCTCGAGATTCAGCTCAACTTGGGTTTGAATTTGACTTTCACTCTGTCACTTATTAGCTGTCACTCAGCCTCGTTGTGCCTCAAGTTCCTCATCAATAAAATGGAGAGAGAGTAGCAGTTATCTCACAGGACACTGCTGCGATGCTTAAATGAGATCCATGCACAGATAACAGCTGGTAATTGTTAGATTCGAATATCAAAGTTACTACTATTACTACTGTCTTACAAGGACAACATCTGAATGAAGTCAAAGGATATTACAACTCCTTTGCAGATATGTTTTGAGGATTAGAGACAACATTGTACTTCGATAATTATAATATGATTATTTTCTCACATGTTAATGTCTCTGACCTTAGAATATAATTTATAATTCACAGGCTTTAAAACTGTAAATTGCAGCATTTCTGTTTGTTCATTTCTCATTTTTCCTGTTGGTCTAATTACCATGAGGTGTTTTCATTTAAGTTTCTTTAGAGATGATGTCTGTTATATATTATTCTATAATACAGGTGCACAACACAGTGATCCACAACTGTTAATGGTTACACTGCATTTAAAGTGACTATAAAATATTAGCTATATTCCCCATGTTGGACAATATATCCTTGTAGCTTGCAGGATTTTAGTTCCCTCACCAGAAATCGAACCCTGGGCCCAGAGCAGTGAGTCTCAACTCCTGAATGGCCAGGAAATTCCCAAGATTCCCTTGACTTCTGAAAAGGCTGAAAGTTGTCACAGGATACCAATCCTCACAAATAAATTGAAAGTGACAAATTATTTTCATCTGTGCCACATTCCTATGAGTGCCAGAAAGATAAACCCTGTCTGATCATCCGACTTCCTACAGACAGCTTGATCTACAGAGATTTGGGGGGTTGCTAAATCAACTTTCATATTTTGTGTGTGTGTGTTTTTTTTTTTTTTTTTTTTTTTTTTGGTGTGGAAAACCAGGAAACTCCTGAGTGTTTGCCTTTGAAATCATTCTTAGAAAAGTCTCTGGGGTGGGATATGTGTATACTTACAACTGATTTCTTATGTTGTACAGCAGAAACCAAGACAACACTGTAAAGCAATTACCATCTAATTAAAAAGATACTAAGGTTAGTAACCAGTAAAACGAGAAAAAAAAGGTCATTGTCAGCACACAAAAAATGTATCAATAGGAATTTCAGTTTTCTTCTGGTATTTTTCTCACCCTGTCTATTTCAAACGTTTGATACATACTCCATCTGAAACTTTTTGGAGAGATAAAAATCGAGTTACTTTTCTCTTAATAGTGACCAGGTTATTTCTCTACCATCTACACATAATTTATCTTTACTAATAGAAAATGTCATCAAGCAAATTTTGATCATCTAAAAGGGCAAATCTTTGTCTACTATACAAAACTTCCAATTTCATCACAATTAAAGACAGCATGTGTAACCCAAAACCTTTAAAACCACGATATATTTATTTGGTTTAAATTTGGAAAGACCATATATCCTAAGAAAATGTCTTCCTATTCAAGAACACAGTCAGCTTCCTACTTCAAAGCTGTCTTCTAAGGTCCTTCAGCAAGGAATATATACACAGAAGTGTACAGTGATATAAAATGGATATTGCATTGTATCTGAAGAATTTTTAACCCAGAAGTTGACCTGTCATGGGGATTATTTTTCTCACTATGCAGTTTTCTGGAATATATAAATTATGGTATGAAAATGTGTACATTAAAAATAAGATGCCAACAACATCAAAAATCTGTCCACTGCCAATATCCACAATGGACGATCCATGGGAAGAAGAGTTTTCATAAATCACATGAGAAAAACAATGTGAGAGCCAGGGAGTTCCAGAAGATTTCTTGAGGGCTGTAGAACTTGAGAGCTCTTACTCATGAGTACACCATGTTAACGCATGCATAACAACAAATGAAAAGGAGGAGGAAGAAGAGGAAAAAAAGGTGCTATTCATGTTTTATTTCAGTTCTGTGATTACTGACATTCAGTTAAATAACTTTAAAATGGCCAGGGGGTCCAAAACCAGCTAAGGCTTTTGCAGCCTATCAAGTCTGCGGGGTGCTGGATCCCAGGAAGGTGTCCAAGAGCCTTGGAGGGGAGACTCACAGGAGGGACCCCTGCCAGGCCCTTCCTCCCTGCTTACCTGTTCATCTTGTCCTTGTCATTCAGGCCACTCTTCCCGAGCAACAGAACCTGCTGCACTTTAGCTACGTTGCCCATGCTGGCAGCTTTGTGGATCTTTCTGAGGTCCTTGTCTCGGATGCGGTACCCAGGCTGGAAGTTGATTCTATGACTGCCATCTCTTCCCGGGCTGATGGAGGAGCCGAAGGGCAAGATGCCCTTCTTACTCCTGAAGCCAAAAATCTTCTTCATCACAGAGCCTACAGACTCCAAACACACCTCACCTCCCCTCGGCTCTTCACAGGCCCCTAAACCCAACACGAGCACTAGAGGTAAACCAGAGCCGTCCCACCACAACCTCCCAGCTGGGAAGCTCAACGGTTTGGAATCTTGCATCCCAGAATGATCGTTGCTAAGCAACACCTCTAAACACATTGCCCGTGTACCAGAATGCCCAGGGTGCATGTGCAAGAATGGGAAGTGCATTTTTTGAAAGAAACAAATAATATCAATAAAGCCTACATAAGGTAAGAAGAAATGAGAGGAAATTGAAATAAACACAGAAAGGAAAGCGACATTACAACAGATACCTCAGAAGTAAAGAAGCATAATCATAAGGGACTATTATTGTTGATGAACAATTACAAATTGGAAAACTTAGAAGAAATAGATAAATTCTGAGAAACATACATGCTGTCAAGACTAAAACAAGAAAAAATACAAAAGTAGAAAAACTCAAAGTCCAGTAACAAATAAGGAGATTCAAATATTAATTAAGAAAAAAAAAACCTCCCAAAAGTTAAAAGTTTAGGATCAAATGGATTCAAAGCTCAATTCTACCAACATTCAAGTAAGAATTAAAAGTAAGACTATGCATAAAAACACTTGACAAAATTCAAAATCCATTTATGATAAAAATAAATTCAATAAAATAGAAATTTACTCAATACAATAAAGGCCATTTATGAAAAGCATGAAAAGTGAAAGTGATAGTCAGTCATATCTGACTCTTGGCTATGCCATGGATTATACAGTCCATGGAATTCCCTAGGCCAGAATATTGGAGTAGGTAGCCGTTCCCTTCACCAGGGGACCTTCCCAATCCAGAGATAGAACCTAGGTCTCTCGCAATGCAGGCAGATTCTTTACCAGCTAAGCACCACGGAATCCTAAGAATACTGGAGTGGGTAGCTGATCCCCTCTCCAGTGGATCTTCCTGACCCAGGAATCAAACCAGGGTCTCCTGCATTGCAGGTGGATTCTTTACCAACTGAGCTAACAGGGAAGCTAGTCTTGCTTGGGAAAACAGCGTCTGATAGTACGAAAAGCAGGGACTGAAAGGCTTTGAACAAGATGGCTGCCATCTTTAAAAAAAAGAAGCCCTCTGTCCTGTGACTGATTCACACTGATATTTGGCAGAAACTAACACAATACTGTAAAACAATTATCCTTCAGTTCAAAATATATTTAAAACAAAACAAAAACAAAAACAAATCTCTCCCTCAACTATGCTGCCCCCTTCATCTGCAGCCTGAATGATTCTCAACCCAGAACCAAACACCCTGAAGGAGCTGCCCAGTCCCACGCTCTCCTCCTCGCCACAGCCAATATTCTGCTTCCTCACTCTATGGAAATGTTCTCCTCTCTGCCACCGGAGTCCAGAGGAGCCGAAATCAAACAGCTTGACTACAGGTGAAGGGGGAGAGCTCTCAGCACTTCAGGTCATGGGTGCCAGATGGTAAGGTTCAGAGAAAGCTGCCAGTGACATTACCAGGGTATAAACATCATGTGGTGAGGCCACGAGCTGGATCCTCACTGGCGGGAAAAAGAGCTCAAGACCCTCAGTCACTTGTCTGTCCCCACAGATGGGGAGGGGGCGGGTTGGCGTGCATGCAGTCACAGGCTGTTGTCACTTCCCCACGGTGAGGGGACTCCTCACCCTGTGTCTGCGCAGCAGACACTGTGCTATGATTAAATGTATCCCAGGTGTGGAGAACAGCTGGAGCACATGTTCAGCCTGCCTCAGCCTGGCTCCCAGGAAAGAGCAATGAGTTTTTCTTTCTCTTCCCAGCTAGTGGCTGAGGCTGGGAAGAAGCAGGGAACACGCATTGGCTCAAGAGCACATTCTGATCCAAACTCACAGTGTAATATAAATCTATCATTTCTGATCCTGCAGGACAGGCAACAGTTTAGTCACTCAGCCATGTCCAGCTCACTGAGAACCCATGAATCGCACCACGCCAGGCCTCCCTGTCCATCACCAACTCCCGGAGTTTACTCAAACTCATGTCCATCGAGTCGGCGATGCCATCCAACCATCTCATCCTCTGTCGTCCCATTCTCCTCCTGTCCCCAATCCCTCCCAGCATCACACTCTTTTCCAAAGAGTCAACTCTTCGCATGACGTGGCTGAAGTACTGGAGTTTCAGCTTCAGCATCAGTCCTTCCAAGAAATACCCAGGACTGACCGCCTTTAGGATGAACTGGTTGGATCTCCTTGCAGTCCAAGGGACTCTCAAGAGTCTGCTCCAACACCACAGTTCAAAACCATCAATTCTTTGGCGCTCAGCTTTCTTCACAGTCCAACTCTCACATCCATACATGACCACTGGAAAAGCCATAGCCTTGACTAGCTGGACCTCTGATGGCAAAGTAATGTCTCTGATTTTAATATGCTATCTAGGTTGGTCATAACTTTCCTTCCAAGAAGTGAGCGTCATTTAATTTCATGGCTGCAGTCACCATCTGCAGTGATTTTGCAACCCAATAAAATAAAGTCTGCCACTGTTTCCCCATCTATTTGCCATGAAGTGATGGGACAAGATGCCATTATCTTAGTTTTCTGAATCTTGAGCTTTAAGCCAACTTTTTCATTCTTCTCTTTCACTTTCATCAAGAGGCTTTTTAGTTCCTCTTCACTTTCTGCCATAAGGGTGGTGTCATCTGCATATCTGAGGTTATTGATATTTCTTCCGGCAATCTTGATTCCAGCTTGTGCTTCTTCCAGCCCAGCATTTCTCATGATGTATTCTGCATATACGTTAAATAAGCAGGGTGACAATCTACAGCCTTGACGTACTCCTTTTCCTGTCTAGAACCAGTCTGTTGGTACATGTCCAGTTCTAACTATTGCTTCCTGACCTGCATATAAGTTTTCTCAAGAGTCAGTGCATATGGTCTGCTATTTCCGTCTCTTTCAGAATTTTCCAGTTTATTGTGATCCACACAGTCAAAGGCTGAGGCATAGTCAATAAAGCAGAAATAGATGTTTTTCTGGAACTCTCTTGCTTTTTCTATCATCCAGCAGATGTTGGCAACTTGATCTTTGGTTCCTCTGCCTTTTCCAAAACCAGTTTAAACATCTGGAAGTTCACAGTTCACGTATTGCTGAAGCGTGGCTTTGAGAATTTTGAGCGTTACTTTACTAGTGTGTGAGATGAGTGCAATTGTGCAGTAGTCTGAACATTCTTTGGCATTGCCTTTCTTGGGGATTGGAATGAAAACTGACCTGTTCCAGTCCTGTAGCCACTGCTGAGTTTTCCAAATTTGCTGGCATGTTGAGTGCAGCACTTTCACAACATCATCTTTCAGGATTTGAAATAGCTCAACTGGAATTCCATCGCCTCCACTAGCTTTGTTCGTAGTGACGCTTTCTAAGGCCCACCTGACTTCACATTCCAGGATGTCTGGCTCTAGGTGAGAGATCACACCATCGTGATTATCTGGGTCGTGAACATCTTTTTTGTACATTCTTTCTCTGTATTCTTGCCACCTCTTCTTAATATCTTCTGCTTCTGTTAGCTAGGACCATACCATTTCTCGAATCCATCTTTGCATGTAATGTTCCCTTGGTATCTCTAATTTTCTTGAAGAGATCTCAAGTCTTTCCCATTCTGTTGTTTTCCTCTATTTCTTTGCACTGATAGCTGAGGAAAGCTTTCTTATCTCTCCTTGCTATTCTTTAGAACTCTGCATTCAAATGCAAATATCTTTCCTTTTCTCCTTTGCTTTTCTCTTCTCTTCTTTTCACAGCTATTTGTAAGGCCTCCTCAGACAGCCATTTTGCTTTTTTGCATTTCTTTCCTATGGGGATGGTCTTGATCCCTGTCTCCTGTACAATGTCATGAACCTCCATCCATAGTTCATCAGGCACTCTGTCTATCAGATTAAGTCCCTTAAATCTATTTCTCACTTCCACTGTATAATCCTAAGAAATATGATTTAGATCATACCTGAATGGTCTAGTGCTTTTCCCAACTTTCTTCAATTTAAGTCTGAATTTGGCAACAAGGAGTTCATGATCTGACCCACAGTCAGCTCCCGGTCTTGTGTTTGCTGACTGAGAGGAGCTACCTCACGTCCGAGGTCAGGGAAGGCGGCGGAGAGGAGAAACCCCACGTCCAAGGAGCGGCAGCTGCATCGGCACAGAAGGGCCGAGAGGAGCTACGCCACGTTCAAGGTCAGGAGGGGCAGCCATGAGGAGATACTCCTCATCCAAGGTAAGGAGCAGTGGCTGCACTTTGTTGGAGCAGCCATGAAGAGATACCGCATGTCCAAGGTACGAAAAAACCCAAGTAAGACAGTAGGTATTGTGAGAGGGCATCAGAGGGCCAACACACTGAAACCATAGTCACAGAAAACTAGCCAATCTGATCACAGGGACCACAGCCTTGTCTAACTCAAAAAAACTAAGCCATGCCACATGGGGCCTCCCAAGACAGACGGGTCATGGTGGAGAGGTCTGACAGAATGTGGTCTACTGGAGAAGGGAATGGCAAACCACTTCAGTATTCTTGCCTTAAGAACGCCATGAACAGTATGAAAAGGCAAAATGATAGGATACTGAAAGAGGAACTCCCCAGGTCAGTAGGTGCCCAATATGCTACTGGAGATCAGTGGAGAAATAACTCCAGAAAGAATGAAGGGATGGAGCCAAAGCAAAAACAATACCCAGGTGTGGATGTGACCGAATAGAAGCCAGGTCCGATGCTGCAAAGAGCAATATTGCATAGGATAATTCATTAGGTCCATGAATCCAGGCAAATTTGAAATGGTCAAAAAGGAGATGGCAAGAGTGAATGCCAACATTATAGGAATCAGCAAACTAAAATGGACAGGAAGGGGTGAATTTAACTCAGATGACCATTATATCTACTACTGTGGGCAGTAGAAGAAATGGAGTAGACATCATGGTCAACAAGAGTCTGAAATGCAGTACTTGGATGCAGTCTCAAAAATGACAAAATGATCTCTGTTCGTTTCCAAGGCAAACCATTCAATATCATGGTAATCCAAGCCTATGCCCCAACCAGTAATGCTGAAGAAGCTTAAGTCGAATGGTTCTATGAAGACCTAACAAGACCTTTTAGAACTAACACCCAAAAAAGTTGTCCTTTTCATTCTAGGGGACTGGAATGAAAAAGTAGGAAGTCAAGAGACACCTGGAGTAACAGGCAAATTTGGCCTTGGAGTATAGAATAAAGCAGGGCAAAAGCTCATAGATTTTTGCCAAGAGAACACACTGGTCATAGCAAACACTCTCTTCCAACAACACAAGAGAAGACGCTACACATGGACATCACCAGACAGTCAACACTGAAATCAGAGGACAGGCAACAGCCAACCTGAAAGGTGGTGAAACTGGCCCAGGTCTGAACCTGGGTGTGTGCGGGGCGGAGAGAGAGGATTCTTTATCATGGGCATGGATTGGCCCTGGGGCTGTTTTCAGCCTGTGAATGAGGCTGAGGGATGGGAGAATAATTTCTCCAGGATCCAGGCAAGTGCAGCCTGCAGCTCCAAGCAGTGCTTGGGCTGCTGGGTCCACATCGGCTCCCTGGTTAATTTCTGAAGCTGTCAGAGCACAAGAAATCTCTCTAAAGGAAAGTGGGGTGCTGGCATTCAGATGCTTAAATAAACCACATCTCTAGGAGTGCAGAGCCCAAAGGCCATGTCTGGGCCCTCAGCATTGAGAAGAGAGATCATAGTAGTATGTGGATAAGGCAAAGCTCAGGATGCTGGAATCCTTTTGAATTATTACTCTGGCTCTGCCCCAAAATGAGCCTCATATATTTCAACCAATTAATTCTCTCCATTTGTCTATGGATCCATGTATCTATCTCCTGTCCACTGTGATCTCACCCTGCAAATTAGACTGTTTGCCTGGGGAGGAAGAGGGATAGGTCACACCCAGCAAGGATGTTCCAGCACTGATCTGGCACTAATATCAACTAACCCCCACAGTGATAAAGAAAAACCAAAGGGTGCAGTAGAAAGAGTTAGATTTTGGTGGCACGCCGGTTGTGCGTGTGCAAATCCCAGCTCAAATATTAAGTTTAAACCCTCAGCCTCAATTGTCTCATCCCAACATCACTTTATGAAGCTGTGGGTGTTGGAGGTTATCAGGTAGAGTGAAGGGGCATTTTGTTAAGTGTACATGTGGCAGCAATCACTACTCTTAGTAATTTGTACATTATCACTGTTTCTGCAGAATCAGGGACGTGCCGTCACTAGGTGGAAAGCTAGCCTAGTAAGGGTGAACATTAGGTATAATCAAGGCAAGGCTGGGGAGAAAGGAGGGGTCCAGCTGCTCTGGAGAGTGGGTAGGAGGAAAGGAGGCCATGGGCCTGGGACAGGTGGGCACCAGGCCCCAGACCCCAGGATGGTGAGTAGAGGAAGGCTAATGATGAAGGTTTTCGATGGAAGAGGAGCAGGACTCAGGCCTAAACATTTCTGCCTGGACAAGACAAAGTATCAGTGGACCAGGGCCAAGGCATGTGCTGCTGGGGAGGGGGCAGCGGGGAACCCATCTCCTGGTTCCTCCAGCAGAAGCTGATGAGCTGCTCCCCTCAGAGAAGGTTAAGTAGCCTCACCAAAGCCATCTGACAGCAAGTGATGGATCCAAGTTTGAAAACTCAATCATCTTTCCTACTGTATAGCATGGGCCACTCTGCTCAATGGTACGTGGCAACCTTGGAAGGAAAGGGAGTTTGGAATGAACACTGGAGTATGTGTATCTTTTTGAATTAGTTTTCTCCAGATATACGCCCCAGAGTGGGACTTCTGGATCATACAGTAGTTCTATTGCATTTTCATCTTTTTAAGAAACTTCCATACTGTTCTCCATGGTGGCTGTACCAATTTAGTTTTACCAATAATGTAGGATGGTTTCCTTTACTCTATATCCTCTCCAGCTTTTACTATTTGTAGACTTTTGGATGATGGCCATTCTGACCAGTGTGATGTGATACCTCATTGCAGTTCTGTCATGCATATCACTGATAATTAGTGATGATGAACATCATTTCATGTGCCTACAGGCAATCTGTATGTCTTCTTTGGAGAACTGTCTATTACAGTATTCTGCCCATTTCTATTTTGTATTTTTATTTATTTGTTTTGCCAATTTTTAAATTGGGATTCTGGTTATTCTAATTTTCTTGACATAGAGTTACATGAGTTATTTGTATATTTTGGAGATTAATCCCTTGTCAGTTGCTTCCTTTGCAAATATTTTTTCCCTCTCTGTTAGTTTTTTGTTTGGTTTATTGTTTCCTTTGGTGTGCAGAAGCTTTTAAGTATAATTAAGTCCCATGTGTTTATTTTTGCTTTTATTTTCAATACTCTAAGACATGGATCAAAAAGGATATTTCTGCAATTTATGTCAGAGTGCTTTTTTCTGGCTGTGCCATGCAACTTGTGGGATCTTAGTTCCCTGACCAGGGATTGAACTCAGGCCCACAGCAGTGAAATTGCTGAGTCTTAACCCTTGGACTGCCAGAGAATTCCCTCAAAGAGTGTTCAACCTATGTTTTCCTCTAAAAGTTTCCATGTAGGTCTTTCATGCATTTCAAGAATATGTTTGTGTATGGTATCAGAGAATGTTCTAATTTCATTCTTTTATGGAGCTGTCCAGATTTCCCAGCATCACTTATTGAAGAGGGTTTTCCCCACTGTCCATCCTCGCCTCTATTTCATAGGTTAAGCAACCATATGTGCATGGAGAGGAGTCCACATTATGTTGTTGAGTCCTTCTACCCCAGATCTGAGCTTTCCATCTCTTCCAGCGGTTTAAGCTTTTTCTCACTCAAGCACGTAGAGTAAATGTGCAGACAGATGGAGGGGAGGGAGCGTGCAGCAGCTTCAGGAGAGCCATTGCCACCAGGAAGAAGAAAGAGGTTGGCTGCAGTAGAACAGGGACGGGGCTTCTGTCCAAGATGTTGTAACAATGTTCTTAACACATCTGCATGTTTATGTAATACATATGAATGTTTCCTATAGAACTATTTTTCTGTATCTTTGAAATATTTTAGTTTAAAAAATATTTAGAAGTTAATTGGTTTTAATAGAGAAGGATTTTATTGCAAATACAGTGACTCTATCCCTTATTGCCAGTTGAAAGTCACAGAAAGTGTAGCATTCTGGAGTGTCTATATCGATGGAGAATGCCAGAGACTAAACCCATTGCACTAACAGTGCAATGGTAAAACTACAGAGCCCTGACTTTGCATTTTAATCTCTGTAGCCAAGGTCAGAAGTGCAAGATTAAAATTGCTTTATTTTACCATTTACCTTGCTGAGAACCCCATAATCTGGTTTGTTTTTCAGTAGCAAAATTAGGAATGTAACTCTGGAAGTTGTCCAAGGACCACTAAAAAAAAAAAAAAAAGAAAAGTAGTCTTTTCCAACGTGTTTCCCCAGCATCTGGCACACAGACCTTCATTAAATGCTTGTGGGGTAAACAGAATGACAATCCTCATCTAGCCAGGGGTGTACAGCCAACGAGCCACCATAAGTTACGGTGTCACACTGATTTACTTTAAAATACGTTCTTTCAAAATGAACGCCAGGAAGAAAAGCAGTCAATACAGCGAGGGGCGCTGTAGCAATCTTGCTGAGAAGATTGCTGAGAGCTCTACCTTTTCCTTCCAAGAATCGGGATTTTTTTCTTGGTGCCTCGTTGCTTCTCTTCAGTGACTTGAAATGCTTTTGTCAGGTGGGCATTTTCCACAAAGAGCTCCTTAAGCAGCAGATCTGACTGTGTGTTCTTTTCAAACTGGAGAGGGGCGAAAGCCACAGTGTACTGCACGTCTAATTCAGGCACGCAACGCCACGCCACCAGCTCTCCCTTCATATTCCTCCACACGCATTCAGACCAGTCTGGGGAACCTTACAAATCAGAGACATGGTGGATGTAATGACAGGTTTTGTTATCCTGGCATGAGAGAGGAAACTGATGAACTATGTGGTAGAGAAAATGTAAGCCACCTTTATACAGAGTTACCCACGAAATGAAGACAAGAAGACCCAAATCTGGAGGCCTCCAAAAGACAACGAGGAAACTGTCAGGAGCACCCGAACTCTTTGGCTTATCTCAGCGTGTTCTGCAGGCCCACCATATCAGCAGGACACGCCGAGGCTCCTTGGGTGCCGCCCACACAACACCCACAGGGGCTCCAGCGATGGGGACACAGGATACACAGTCAAGATGCAAAGACGCAGGGGTCCCGGCTTTGGGCTTTGAGAGTCTTCACTGAGTTCACTCACTCAAGTAGCTACTGAGCAGCTCTGCAGGCCAAGTGCTGCCGGCCACGGCCCTGCTCCCACAGGCACGTGTTCGAACGGGAGGAGCCAGCAGAGCATGCAGTGTCAGCCTGCGTGTTCACAGAGAACCCAGGTAGGGGACACACGGTGAGCCTGAGGTGAACAGACAGCCCTGAGAGGAGCATCGGGGACGTAGGGGAGGCTGCCTGGGTAAACCTCCCGGGCAGAGGCCGGCACATGTGGGGGTGACAGGAACGGCCAGGAGGCCAGTGAGGAAGGCAGAGCTGCCAGGCCGGCTGGGCAAGGGCCGAGGGGAGGGGTCCAGGTCCTGCAGAATCTCAAGGCCACCGGAGAAGCTCTGAGGAAGGCAGGCAGCTCCAACATATCTGAGGATGACTGCTGTGCTGAGGGGCTGGCAGGGGAGATGAGCACCCCAGCTGTCAGGACCCAAAAGATGGTGGAGTGGGCGATGGGAGCTCTGCTCTGCACCAAGGGCCGCGCTGAAGAATGAGACGGGCCCCGAGGTGGGCGGGCGGCTGGGAGCAGAGAACTCGGAAGGGGTGCCTGTCAAGGGAGCAGAGAACACGCTGGGAGAACCAGGCTCCTGAAGGCGGTGCCGAGGAGACCATAGAAGGGACGTCGGAAGCGGGGCTCGGGGAGCTAGAGCACGGCCATTTCTCCGGGACCTTCTGGTCTCACGGGGACACAAGCCCAAGTCACAACTGAGAGGAGAGGAGAGGGGCTGGGGGTCAGAGGCGGAGAGGAAGGGCCCCCCAGAGAGGGGGTGTGGGGGAAAGGTGGCAGTTGGGATAGTCCACCATACCTCCACCCCTGGCATGCAGGAGCCTCAAGATTTACTCGGGGTTGAGGTTTTGCCAGGAGTGACTGGGGGGTAGAGGGGTCACCAAGAGCCTGACGGCTGGGAAGGAAAGTGAAGACCTGGGGACAGACAAGATTGGAGGTTGGTGGTGCCGGCAGGACAGGGGTTACACAGATGGGGAGTGGGGGTCTGGAGCGGGCAGCCTGCACAGAGAGACTAGACCTGGGGAACAGTGGCCCAGGGTGCTCCAGATAAACCACATTCAGTCCCTGTGTAAGAAAAGTATTTCCACAGATGCTCACATTTCACTTCCTGGAGCACCAAGCAGACCTCACAGAACAGCAAGGCCCCTCTCTCCCTGCCCTCCTCTCCCCTCCTCAGCACTTCCACAGGACACAGGGTTCTCTTGGATCCTGTCTCCCTCATTAGCTACCCGGATGCCCAAGGGCGTCCGTCACTCACCTGTTCCTTCAGCTCACCCACTTTCTCTTGGAGGAGCACTTCCATGTTCTTCAAAATCATCTCCACCTCCTCCACCTGCTCTTCTGTTGCTTTCAGCTGTTTTTCATGTGCTTCCTGAACAAGAGGAGGTTAGAGATCAACACGGTACATTTTAAAGAGAATCATCTCAGGCTTATTTACTTTAGAATGGAAATCAGCTGAAGTGTACAAAATCTGAGCATCTGGCTAACCTTTCATCCATAGGGGCAAATGGTTAGAAATGTCTCACAAGCCACAAAGCTTCATTTCTCACTGTAGTGTGAGCAGATAAGAGACTCCTTGTCCTAGGATCTTAATCCTAGATGACTCAAAGGTGAGTTTCCTCAAACATGGTAGTCTTTCTAGAGGATCACTGACTAAATTTGCTTTGTCAAAAGTCTGTCCTAGCTTAAATGTCTCTCCAGCACAATGTGTCTGCATAATGCTATAAGGCTGTTCTTCGTTAGAATTTGTGTTTTATACATGTCAGATTTTACCCACCTTTCCAATCTTGCACAAATTCCTTCCTCAGGAAGTCACCTGGCCCTCTGCCCCTCCTCACCCTCCCACTGACCCATGAACTTTAAGGACCCAAATGTGCTTCCCAGGCTCACGCTTCGAGGTGCTCACTCACTGATGCCTGAGAGACTGCTCTGAGGTGGCAACCACTGCCACCAGAGGTTGAAAAAAACGGAAGCACAGAGAGTTAAATCGCTCACTCAGTTAAATCACTCAGCTCAGGTGGTGGAACCAGGATCCCCTCCCTTGCAATGCATGCTCTGAGCCACTGTTCTGCTGCCGTTTTAAGGCAGCAACTCTCTTTCTACATGAGAAGCTGGCACACAGCAGTGCTCCCCAAGTCCGTGCTGCCACTGTGCTGACCTCTTGTCCAACCATCTCCCCACCCCTTGCTGCTCTTATGCATGCCAAACAGCCCACCTCAGGACCTTTGCACCTCCATGCACTCCTGAAGAGCTATCCCTGTCCATCCCTCTACTGGTGCCCTTCTATCACCACCTTTCAGACCTGGAAGCAGGTCACGTGTGTGGCTGGCTGCAAACACATGCAGCCCAGAAAACAGGTTGGGGGACGTCAGGGTCGGCCACTCAGCACCCACCAGTTCCCAGTGGAAGCTGGATCCCGTGGCTTCCGTAAACATCCCACATGGTGAGAGGGCTGTCGGGCCGTTCTCCCCTTTGCACCTGCGATCCTACCTCACCCTCCCCGTCACTCCCAGATGGTCCCCCAGCCCTGTCTTCACTCACCCACGCCTCTTCCTGGAGCTGCTGAGCCACCCGCTATTCCCCTTCCAGCAGCTGCTGCACCTCGGCCACGCGGCGTGCGGGCACACGCTGTGCCATCTCCTCCTGCCGCTGCCACACCCGCTGGGCGTGCTGGGACCGGGCCAGCCACAGCCTTTGGGTGGCTCCATACAGCTGCCGAGGAAAAGGCACAGCAGTTGTGGGGTGACTGCCCAGAGTTTCAGGGTCACCACCAGACACAGAAAACTGCATCTCTACCTGGTAGGCCACCCCAAAGGACAAGGGCCTGTCCAGGAAGCCCACGATTTCTAAAGAATCCGCTTATCTCATGCCACACTCCATTTCCTGGTAGTGCAGACGGTAAAGAATCCACCTGCAATGCAGGAGACACAGGATACATGGATTTGGCCCCTGAGTTGGGAACATCCCCTGGAGAAGGGGATGGCAACCCACTCCAGTATTCTTGCCTGGAGAATCCCACAGACAGAGGAGCTTGGCAGGCTAAAGTCCATGGGGTCCCAAAGAATCGGATAGGACCGAGCGACTAACACAAACTCAACTCAGGGGTGTTTCTGCACCCGGAGAGCCTGGGAGCCCTGCCTGTAGCCCTCTCAGTGACTTCGTGCCGGATCCTGGGAGGATCAAGTTATTCTGTCCTGTTTACCTCCTGGGTTCATCGCTGGGTTTAATTCCTTCCATAACGGGACCCACACCAGCCGTGTACACAGCCTCCCTCTAAATGTAGAGCTCACGCTCCTGAGACGGGCTGTGGCCAGGGCCCCGGAGGTGGTTGCACAGCGTCTGGCGGGGTGTGGATGTGGAAGGACTGGGACACTGCTCCCTGGGCACAGAACCCACAGGATCACTGGCACTAGGCTGTCCAGAGCTTTCCCTGCACGGAGCGCCTGGGAGGCCATCTAAACACCGTTTACACCACAGGCTCTGGTGGCCTCGTCTGGAGCACACAGAACTGCCCTCTGAGACCCCGTGGATGGGAGAGGTGGCGGCTCCATCAGGGGCCCTGCTGAGGGCAGGCCGGGTGCTGGGAGCCATTATGGGAGGTCCCGCCCGTGACGAGGTCATGAAGAAAATACTTCGGATGATCACTATGCAGTCTACTCCAGCCCATGTCTGAGTCCTGCACATCTGCCTGGGTGCCTTGCTGCCTCCTGCAGCCGATGCTGTGCTGAGCCCTGAAGCCTGACCACAGGCCTTGCCGTCCACTCTCCTTGGCCAGGCAGAATTTCAGCACAGCCCAGCTGAGTGCCCCTGAGGCCGTCCTTATAAAGCAAGGTGTAGATGGAGGGTAGGCCCACTCCTGAGAGTCCTGCTCGACTGCAATATGAGAAGGCAGGATGTCCGCAGAAGAGAAGTGGGGCCCCTGCACTCAGGAAGCCAGGGCCTCCATGTTCTGGGTGCTGGGGTGGGGCAGTGAGCCCCTCAGACAACGGCGGACCTTTCCACCCTGAATCCAGGCTGGCCTGGCCAAATGTGGGACAGTGATGCCAAGGAACCCCCCGGCACAGTGCTCAGAAGACCAGATGATTGTCTGCCCTTGCTGGGCGCTTCATTGCCATGCCACGAGGACCCGATGCCACAGAGAGGCCAGCGCAGGGGCCCCCATCCACAGCACCCCAGGATGCTGCCCGTGTAAGTGCCCTTTTCGATGCCAGGCTCCCCTGTGGGCCGCGTGACCTCAGGAGCACTCCCTCTCCAAGGCTCTGGATGCACCCTCACCTCTGCAACCCCCAACCATCCCTAGATACCCTGTAAGAACCTTACACCATCTTCACACTTTCATCCAGGTGTGTCTCGGGGGATTCTCATCTAACTCACAAAAGGTGACACCAGCTGCCTCACAGCATTTCCTCCTGCCTGTGACAGCGGCTGACTGCTGGGCATCCCCCCACCTCAGGGGGCATGGAAGTGTCTGGCAGCCCAGCCCTGCTCCCCATGGGTGGGTCTGTCTTCTTCACCTCAAAGGCTCAAACCAGTCCAGCAATTTCTCAAGGTTCCTTTTGCACTACAAACCGGGAAGGGAGCCACCAATACACAGACACACCTTGGAGAAAGTGCCTGCTGACAGTGGGGGGCTGGGCCCACAGGGGTCTGCCAACCCCTCCTCAGACCCTGGACAGAGAGGAGTCCCACATGCAGACAGGCCCTTCTGCAACCCAGGCCACCAGGTGTCCACAGCTAAGTCCAGGGGTGGGGAACCTGGTGCCAGGCTGAGCAGAGACACAAGGCGTAGGGACCCTCTCTCACAGCCCCTTCCCCCTGCAGACCCTGGCCCTCCAAGCGCACCCCATGTCACACCGTCACCTCCCTCTTCTCCTCCTGCTCAAGCTGCTTGGAAGAACCAGCCCTGTGTCCCAGCACCTCACACTGGCAGGCACCGCCACCCCTCCTGGGCCTGCTCAGCTCACATCTGTGTGTCCCAGCCCACGAGCTCCCTGCCTCCCCACCGCTGCACCTCTGAGCCTGGCAGGCACCAGACAAGTGCTGGGCAGGGCAGTGGGCACACAGCCACAGGCGTGTGACACCTGGGCTCCGCTGGGGGCCAGGAGCTGGTCACTTCGGGGGCTGCACCGCCCACGGCCTGAGCCTCGGAGGCCACCTGCTGTGCTCCCTGGCCCCTCAACCTGCAGAGGGCACACCCAGAGGAGCTGTATGGACTCCTGCCCTCGGGAGCAAACAGGCACAGCTCTTCACACGGTTCACACGTGTTCCACCTGACCGTGGACGGGGCCTGACTGAGTCCTGGGCCTGGAGGGCGCCCCCCCAGCCGTGTGACCTCAGCCAGCCCCGTGACACCCTTGGCCAGATGAGTCCCATGCAGGTGGTCAGAGGCGAGGCTGACCCCTCTCAGCCTGGGACCCCCATGCACACCCACTTGGTCCCGACTCTCTTCAAGGGCTTCTCTCAGCTGTGACTGGGCCAGTCTCGGGCTCTGACGTTCCTGAGTCACGCGGTCAAGTTCAAGTTCAAGTTTTTGCATTTGGTTACCCTGTTTTTAAATGTCGGTTTCACAAGTGTAAGAAGAACATTAGCAATGTGATACGTTGCAGAAACTTCAGAAAGGCAAGAATTACAAAATTTAAGTCATCCATGATCGCAGCACGCCCGACGTGCTGTATCTCCTGGCCCTTCCTCCACACACACACATGCTGCCACCATGACATCGTAGGCCATGCTTTCTCTCTTATAATGTCCAGAGCATTAGACACTATTCAAAAATGTGGTTTTTAATGGTGGCACCATAATTTACTGACTTAGTCAATATGGTTGATGATTCAAAGCTGATTCCAATTCTTTTGTGCTATTATAAGCACCAGCGCAATGCAAACAGCTCCAGCTAAGTCCACAGATAATGTTCAGTAAAGTTCCCACAGCAGAATCATGAAGTCAGGGCACACCAACGTTCTTCACCACTCTTGATGTATGTTTTGCCATAATGACATCTGGAGAGGTCATCCCAATTTAGGCTCCTATCATCAGGATTTAATCTCTTTCTGCTACTTTCTCTAAGTATCAGGCTTTGCAAAAGCTGCTAAAGTTCACACATTTTTCAGCGCTTGCTTGTGAAGCCCCTCGCTTTACCTCCAGGCACTTCAGGGCTGTCCCTGGTCTGTTTTAGGCCAGGCTGCCTGCCCCTCCTTGCCCCGCCCACAATTCACCTGCAGCTACTCCCACAATTCACCTGCAGCTCCTCCCACAATTCACCTGCAGCTCCTCCCATAAGTCACCTGCAGCTCCTCCCACAATTCACCTGCAGCTCCGCCTGGAGTTCGGCCTCCTCTAGTCTGTGTGTCAGCAGCTAGACGGTGACGTGATTCTTCTCGCTTTGGGCCTGGTGGGTAGAGGCCTCCTCTCCAAGCTGCAAGACCCTGTGTTAAGCTGGGACAGTTCATCCCTACTCTTGTGACTCTGGAACAAAAAGGGAGAAAACACAGGTAGACAAGTTACTTTGTTAAGCCAGCAGCATCCCAGGGGTCCTCAACCAGGACACTCTTTTCCCCAGGGGATGCTTAGCAATCTTTGGAGACCATTTTGGTCTTCACAGCTGGGGGTGGGGTTGCTATCAGCAACTAGTGGATGAGGGGCTCGCTCAGTGTCCCCAGAGTGATGGGCTCTCAGGCCACCACACAGAGGATGAACTCTGATCCATCCCACAAGAACCAAATGCTAGGCACCAGGAGTGCTCACACCCCATCAGGAGAGCTCACACCCCATCAACATCCCATCACTGCTCTGGAGAACTGGCATAATTTTCTCGTTTCTCCCACGGTTATTTATGACATTATTTTACACATGTTGAAGGAAAACAAACAAACAAAAAAAAAAACCCTAGCTAAACCTAAGGCTCCTGATTCTCTTCAACAATCTGATCACTCTCATTAAACACAGCACACTGATGAAATCACCCACTTGGCAGATAGTGGATGCTGGACGCTGGCGCTGTGGCCTGGGATAAACAGCAGCCAGCAGGTGACATAGGAAGCTCATTATCTCCAACCATCTGTCACACACCTTCACACAAACCATGTTTTGCTCCTCTGCTTTTCCCTAGCAATTGCTCCGGAGGCTGAGGGTCTGAAGCACTCTGTGCCTCGGAGCAGGGTTCATGCACAGCTAGGCGGGTGCATCACTGTTGCCCCAGGGTGGGTGTTCCCACCTTATCAGCCAGGCTCGGGTGGGAGGCAGGCAGCGGTGGGAAGAGGCAGATGGGAACTGCGGGTCTCTGAGGAACCAGAGGCAACAAAAGCACTCCCAGAGTGAATGGGAACCCAGCAAGGACACAAGGTCGGCAGGTGAAAATCTACTATGCTTTATGTCCTGACAGTAAACGTGCAGAAACCCACATGAGAAACAAAACACCATTTCTGCCCTGGCCTGGAAAAAGTTTGGAAGTTGTCACTCCCGACAAGAACAAAGAAAAAGCTGAGTAACTGAGAGTCAACAACTCTTCTGAGATCCATCAGAGAATTGAAGTCACAGGGCAAACCAATGTTCTGAAAACGGGAAAGAAAAACAGGCGAAGAGTGTCACAGCTCACGAGGAGTCAAGGCTGGAGGCCTAAACAGAGTGGCTGCTGTGGGTAGAACCGCGTCCACAAAGTCACCACTGTCTGGAGACAAGGCTGCTAGCAGGTCATTAAGGTTAAATGTGCTCACAAGGTGGGGTCCTAATCCAACGGAACAGTGACTTTATAAGGAGACACAGTGAGAGGGGGCTGCCCACAAGCGTGGAAGAGCCTCATGGGAACCAAGCCAGCCCCGCCTTGATCTTCGCCTTGAGAACCTTGGGAAACAAACTCCTGTAGTTTAAGCCTCCTGCCTGTGGCATTCTCTATGGAGCCTGAGCAGACTAGGACAGAGACTGTTCTGAAGACAAAGAGCGTTCTGCTCTCTGCCCTCAAGGGAAACCTCCTTCTCTACCAGGCAGGAATCAGCGAGGGGAAGGGGATACCCAACTAGAGCCGCTCTAGCTGTTCTGACTCAGGGTCACTCACCTACTGGAGAGGCTAAAATAAGGGTGACAACACCCAGTGTGGACAGGGATGTGGGGCAACTGGACCTAGCATACACTGCTGGCAGGAACATAAACTGTTAGTAGCCGCTCTGGATAACAGCTGGGCAATTTCATATAAAACTAGACATGCAACTGCAGTACAGATCAGCAATTGCTCTCCTGGGCATTTATCCTGTGAAATGAAAACCTACATCCACACAAAGACCTGCATAGGAATGTTCATTGCAGCTTCTGTGACAGCCCAAAACTGGAATCAGCCCAGCCATCTTTTAAAAGGTGAACATTAAGACACGCTGTTTCCAAATTGGGAAAGGAGTACATCAAGGTTGTATATTGGTCACCCTGATTATTTAACTTATATGCAGACTACATAACGTGAAATGCTGGGCTGGATGAAGCACAAGCTAGAATCAAGACTGCCGGGAGAAATATTAATAACCTCAGATATGCAGATGACACCACCCTGATGGCAGAAAGCAAAGAGGAACTGAAGAGCCTCCTGATGAAAGTGAAAGAGGAGAGTGAAAAAGTTGGCTTAAAACTCAACATTCAAAAAACGAAGATCATGGCATCCAGTCCCATCACTTCTTGGCAAATGGATGGGGAAACAATGGAAACAGTGACAGACTTTATTTTCTTGGGCTCCAAAATCACTGCAGATGGTGACTGCAGCCATGAAATGAAAAGCCACTTGCTCCAAGGAAGGAAAGCTATATTGGCCTATATATCTAGGCCAATCTAGACAGCACACGAAAAAGTGGACAAAGGTACGTCTAGTCAAAGGAGATCCAACCAGTCCATCGTAAAGGAGATCAGTCCTGGGTGTTCACTGGAGGGACTGATGCTGAATCTGAAGCCCCGATATTTTGGACACCAGATGCGTAGAATTGACTCATTGGAAAAGACCCTGATGCTGTGAAAGATTGAAGGCAGGAGGAGAAGGGGACGACAGAGGATGAAATGGTTGGATGGCATCACCGACTCAATGGACGTGAGCCTGAGCAAGCTCTGGGTGTTGGCGATGGACAAGGAAGACTGGTGTGCTGCAAACCATGGGGTCGCAAAGAGTCAGACATGACTCAGCAGCTGAACTGAAGACAAGCTATGGGACATTAATGCCTTGGAATACCATCCAGCGACAGGAAGAAAGAAACTGTGGACACACGGCAGGGAATCATGCTATGTGAGGAAAGGCAATCACAAAGATCTCATTCTGTATGATTCCTTTTGTGTCACTTGTGAAATGACACAATTTTGGAAATGAAAGACAGTTAGTTGTTTTCGGGGGTTCAGGCTGGGGTAGATGGGCAGAAAGATGTAGATGTGAATGAATAATATGAAGGACGTTGTGGAGCTGCAGATGTGGTTGTAGAGACATGAACCTGCACAAGGAATAAAACCGTGTAGACCTGACACCCACATGAGTAAAGTAAAGCTGTGGAAGCAAGCGGCCTTTCTGGGTGGTCCCGTGGTTAAGAATCTGCCTTCCGAGGCAGGACACTGGGGTTCCATCCCTGGTTGGGGAACTAAGATGCCATGAGCCGTGGGGCAACGAAGCCCTTCCCCTAAGATAAAGAACAACTCCCCCCAAACCTGGGGAAGTTAGACCTATGGATTCTATCAACGTCAATAGCTTGACTGTAATGCTCATCAAGGGTTGACTTGCGCCCCCTCACGCCATAAATCACATGTTGAAGCCCAAACTTCCAATACTGTACTGGAGTACAGTACAGAGGGACTGCAGCTGGAGATGGGGTCTTGAAAGAGGTGATTAAGGTAAAACGAGGTCGTATGAGTCCAGTATGCTGGTGCTCTAATACAAGATGACGACACAGACACATCTGAAGGATGACCATGTGAGGACACAGAGAGGACAATTGTATACAAACCAAAGACACCAGCCTCAGAAGAAACCAGCCCTGCCCTCACCTTGAACTGCCAACTCCGAGAACTGTGAGGAAATAAACTTCTGTTGTATAAGCCCCTCAGTCTGTGGTGCTTTGCTATGACAGCACTAGCAAATGAACACAGATACTATACTAAAATTTCACAAAATGTGACCACTGGGGGGAACTGGACAAAGTGTATTCCTCTGTAATACATGTCTTATAACCACGTGAGCCTGCAATTATCAGTAATAATTTCAATTTTTAAAAAAATTTAAAAAAAATAAAAGAATGACATCCAAGCTATGTGAAGTGAAGTGAAAGCAGCTAAGTTGTGTCCGACTCTTTGCAACCTCATGGACTACACAGTCCATGGAATTCTCCAGGCCAGAATACTGGAGTGGGTAGCCTTTCCCTTCCCCAGGGGATCTTCCCAACCCAGGGGCCAATCCCAGGTCTCCCGCACTGCAGGTGGATTCTTTACCAGCTGAGTCACAAGGGAAGCCCTCCAAGTTGTGTGCTTCGGTACAAAAGCCAGTGAGTGAGACCAAGTGCAGAAAGCATTTATTCATGGGGCAGA